AGCCAAAATTTTACCTTCTTTTGCTCGCATCTATCCAGGTAGCATCCAAGCTAACATCAGTCGGATAGGTAAATACATATTTTCCAGGCTCCGCCTCAATGCTTTCCTTCCCCCACAAGCAAACACCACAATGAGGAAGATTTGAACGAACGGGCGGACATAAACGAACCTCGATGCCCCTCGCCAGAAACAAACGGAGCGTACAAACTCTGTGGTGTTGGGTGTCGGGGCTTCTTGTTGAGATCGATCGTCAACTGATCGTGGTTACCACTATTTGCTTGTGTTCAAGGTACTCTTCCTCTGCGTTTACGCGCAGGAGAGTGGCCTTTGGAAAGCTTGCGTTCATCTGGTTGAGGCTGGCCATGCTGACTGTTCTCGACGCAGGTAAACATTTTTTCCTATTCTGCTGCCCAGGCGGCGACCGTGTTCAGTCTCTCGATACTATGATGAGTTGATCAAGTATTCACACTGTTTGACTGGCGCTCACTTCGGTGTTTGCTGGACATGAACGTAATTAACACTTTCTGATATTGAGGTAATTCAAACTCACATCTCACATCCTTTGGACAGCATCACTAACAGCCAGCAGATCGTTCACTTGGTGTTTGCTTCACCCATGCCTGACAAGTCGCTGACCCGCGACATAGGTAACTTGCTTGTACTGATGTTTCTCGTTTTGCTTTGATACCCAAATGGTAGGTCTACAATTTTTTTCCGCACTTTTTTCTGTTGCAAGCGCAACGCCCACCGTCTCACGGATGACCTTTTATTAGCTCTAGTACTGAATATCATGAAAGAGAAAACATAAACCGATTCACCTTGGAGAACTGATCGAGACCTGTCATTTTTACATTTTGTTTTGCCATCACTTTAGCAAAGCACTTCGCTAACATGACAACTTCTAGGAACCTGGACTCTTCAATGAGACCTGATCTATCTTCCTTAGTCTGATGACTCAATAATAAAACATGATATTTTCATCGCATTTTTTCTGTCGCTTCGCTTTCTGATCGTGTAACAATGATGCCTTGCCTCCCTTGATATCCACAACCCTTGCGCCAGTCTCCAATCGCATACTGCGGCACAGACACACCTAGTGCTTGAGCTGCAGACGCGCGTTCATGCCCACGATACACCTGATCAAATCCCAATCGCCGTGCGCGCCAACCCAGTCCGTGACAATGATGCCCGTCGCCGCGTCGCCGACATTGAGCTGGTGCGGGCCCTTGCCCGGCTCGCCGTGGCGTATGCAGAGATACTCGATGACGGCCGGGTTCACTTTGGCGGCGATGCGCTCCGGCCAGCAGGTGGCGTTGAAGAAGTTGCTCGCGCTCAAAAAGTTGACAAAGAAGGGCAGCGGCGGTGCGTCGGCGTTGAAGTCGGGCATGCCGGGGAGGTGGAAGAGCTGCTCGGCGGCGCGCTCGAGCTGGCCGTGGGAGAAGTTGATCTTCTTCTCGACGTTTGTCGACTGGTCGATTTCGTAAAAGTCCTGGACGCGGATGAGGCCGCCGCCGACGGTGCCGTCCTCGCAGTTGTCGGGCCAGTTCTGGGCGTCAATGGCCCAGCCGCGGCCGTCGTGCTCGCCGCGCAGGGGTTCGTCGAGGCCGAAGCGGCGGATGAGCACGATGCGGCCGCGACAGTCGCCAAGGTGCGGGATGCGCGGCTCGACGAACCACCTGTGGGCGTCGCGGCCGACGTAGCGGTCGCGGAGGTAGCGGCTGAGCTGCTCGTCGTTGCCCTTGCCCGTGCCCTCGCGCTTGACGGACATGAGGACCGTCTCGGAGGGGTTGGCGTCCAGATAGGCGTAGATGTCGGAGAGCATGTCGGCAAAGTACTTGTTGCCGGTCAGGGAGATGGGGAAGGCGGAGTGGACGAGGGCGAGGTCGTCGTTGTCCTGGGAGACGGAGACTCTGATGTCGAGGAAGCGGACGCCGTTGTCGAGCTGCTCGCGGACGCCGACGGCCTGGCAGCGGACGGAGGGCAGCGCCGTGTAACACGTCGGCGAGTTGTGGGTGCCGGGGATGGAGAGGAGGGGTAGCGGGTATTCGTCGCGCAGCTCGTGCATCCAGGCATTGAGGTTTGCGGACGACATGATGGCGAGGAATGCGCCATTGGCCACGTAGACGGCCGTCAGCTCCAGAGGCGCATCGTCGAGCTTCTTCATGACGGAAGAGCGGTTGGTGGGGCTCGGGGCGTCAATCTCATAACGGTGGCCCTCAATTTCGAACTGGAGACGAACGACATCGTGGTTTCCAATATCTGGTGCGCCAATCTCGGTGCCGCCGATGGCGAATGGCTCGACATGAACATCGACATCCTCGGTCTGGTGGGCATCTCCCTTTGCGTGGGTCTCTTTGGTGGTGAAGTTGGTCGCATTCATGAAGGAGCCAATGGTACCAAAGGTGTTGCCCAGGAAGTCTCCGGTGCGCTTCCTCTCGCCCTCGAAGCGTTCGACACGCTTGAGGGTGACTGGCAGGGCCGTGAGGTTGCGGATGGTGAGGTTCGTCATGGCGGTGGTCTCGAGCAAGGGGGAGGAAGGGGAGGGGAGAAGAAGTGAGAGGCAGTTACCCATCGTGGAGGAGGATTTTCACGGGGGTTTAGAGCCCCTCGGCGGGCTTCATGTACGCGTGTTCCGGGGTACAGAGCCGTCTTGGAAGGCTTGGGAGGGCCGTTACTTGCATGTAAAATGGGGCTCTTTTGGAGCTGGGCTGACCTACGGCCAAGGAAAGGGCGTTGCAACGGTTGGCTGGGTGGGATTTGAATGTCTCGTCGCGGGATGCATGCCGAGTCGGCGCGAGCAAGGTACTTCGTACCTACGGATAGGTAGGTACTGTATGTTCAGCTCAGCTTGACCGGGGCTTCCTCACAGTCACAGCAATGATTCAAGATCGGTAACGCCGCAAGCAGCAAAGATGTCTTAGGTGCGATTGACGTCGCAATATGATGCGCCGTAGCGCTGCTGGTTTGGAGTAGAGCTGGCCGATTAGTGTCCTGAAACTGGACGTGATTCGCCAGCAGTGACAGACAGAAGCTGTTCTTGCAATTGGCGCTGCTCATTGGCCGTTGGGAGATACCAGTTGCGCAAAAGAGCTGAACTCTGGGGTGTGCCTGGTTGTCCTGCAACCTGTGCCATGGATTAGCTGGGACGCGACCGCATGGAGACTGACGGCGACAGTTCGGACCGAAGAGCAGCTGAAGTAAGGTATGGTGATGGGAAGCAGGGATGAGCAGACCTGGGGGCAGAGACGAAGTGATCGGGGCCTGTTGTCCGTCTGATCAGCCAAGGCTAGGTTGATCAAGATCTGATGCAAAGAGAGTCAAAACAAGAGACGATTTGGCCTCCAACGGGACGGACGGGAAATAGTGTTTAGGTTCCGCAGAATGCACGTCCTTTGGCTTACTCCCGGTGCCCGGGTGGATGCAGCGGGCAGGGCGGCCTATGATATCTTTGCCCGTGTTAATCCCTGAAGCAGTCAGATCGTATTCGTGGACGTAAGCAGCTTCGCTTCGTAGCAAAACACCTTCCTCTTTCAACGACCTCAGTCACGATTGCAGAAAGAACTTTGGTCTTTGCTAAACCTCAAGCTATGTCATTTCTTTCTGCTCAACGGCTCAGTAGTTGAGAGAGCCATTCGCTTTGTTCCCAACTCCCTTACCACGTACTCCTCTGTTCGAGATACTCTCCATGAACCATCATGGAGTAATGAAAAATCAGATCTCGGTACCAAAATCTCCACGGCTAACCCCAACTTGGGAGTCTTACCCGTCGCGCTCGTGTTCGTGGCATGAGAGCATCAGACTCGGGCGGCAGGCCCTGGTCGAGCTTGGAGGCACTACGATGAAATCTGCAATACCCGCCCTTCTGCCTATTCTTGCCAAGACCTCGTAGAAGGGTAAAAGGCTGAATAGCATGGCTAGACTCATGAGTTACATCCCGGGTTTGACTGTATTCGAGTATAAATAATCATATACCTCTCGTGAGCTTCCGATTGATGCCCTCATCTGCTCCCCATCGTGACAATCCTTCTCCAACACCTCACTTTCTTCTCATCTACTCTCAAAATGGTCAATTTTCCCTCCATCGCCGTAGGCCTCGCCGTCGCTGCTACGGCAGCTGCCGCAGCCGACACCCCAACGCTCAATACCTGGCCTCAATACAACCACGGCGGCTGGTACAACCACACGGACGGCGACGTCACCACCTACGGCGCTCCCGAAATCACCTCTCTCTCAGGCACGCCCCACGCCAGATTCTCCTTCCTTTTCAACCGCGTCGATCCCCCCTACGCTGGCCTCTACGTCCAGTCCTCGACCGCGGACTTCATCACCCACTACGAGGTCGAAGGCTACGGCTGGGGCAAACCCACCGTCACTGGCAAGGTGTGCGGCGCCCAGAGCAACTTCACCTTTGTGCGGCTGTTCGGCCCCGACGGCCTGCCCAATACAATGGCCACCGACACCATGTTCATCAACGTCTACGCTGCCAAGAACAATGCTTCGCGGGCCGTCATCAACGAGGTCTGGCCCGTCTGGGTTGGAGACGATATCTTTGACCCGGAAAACACAACTCCCTGCCCGGCTCCTGCCGCCAAGACTAAGAGGTGGACTGCTTGAAAAGTCTGAACCGTCAGTTGACGGAACTCGAGGAGGAAATTAGGGTGCTATTGATAAAAGAGGCCAGGAAAATATTGAGGAAGACAGGCCAGGCAAGAGATAGCGGTCAGAAGTTAAGAGACGAGGGCGGATTTAGTCGGGAGGCTGTTCACGCCATTAAGCCATATATACACGAAAGTAATGAATATGTAATCAAAACATGATAAGCATAGAGGCTGCTTTACACGAGGCCCAATGTAACCTACGCTTGTGAGAATCACTTATTTACTCTTTTACCGGAGTAACCAGCTCATTCGGCGTATGGCTCTCAACAATAGTGAACGCGGCTAAGAAACGAGCCAGATACCAGTAAGCACGCAAATGAGCACACCTTATTCGTATGAAATCTAAGTGCGCCCTTCCTCCTCATCCCCTGCCTGCTCAATTGCAATCATAACCGCCTTCGTCTCCTCAAGGCACTCCTCCTTTCGATACTCTTGCGAATCGGGCCAACCGTGGCGCCGGTAAACCTTCTGCAGCGCCGGAATAGGATTCCTCGTCATCGCGCTCTCCGAATCCAAGACCTCGTACTCGTTACACGGCACCCAGCGCAGCAAGTGGTACTCGGCCTTGAGCACCTTGAAGAAGTCGGCGACAGACCAGGCGGCGCCGTCGGCACGCCACTCGGCGTCTTCCTCATCGTCGCAGTAATCGTACGGGTCGTCCTCGATGCACCGGGGCCCGTCGCGGAGCCGGCCGGGACACTCTGGCCAGTAAATGACGCCGAGCTCCGTATCAATCAGGAAGGTGTGGTGCTCGCTCATCGTCAGCCCGACGACGCTCTCGGGTACGTGCTCCGTGGTGGCGGTGATGGTGCGAAGCTCGTCGATGTCGCTGCCGCCCTCGCGTACCCAGGTACCGGACATGCGCCAGTCTATCCAACGACCTCCAGGGGTGATTTCTGGTATCTCGTTGTCGTCGAGATCTTGGCGGATGTACGGTAGGTGTGAAAGTAGGCTCAGTACCTCGTCTGACTTCCCCAGGCCCTGTAAATCAGAGGCCAACGTTGGCCACCCTCCTGGCGGCGGGTGCACGACAGCCGACTCGGGAAGGTACATTTTAGTCAGAAAGACGTAAAAGTCGATCACGGCGGCGACTGTAGCCTCCTCAGAGTACTCGACTTGGTCAAGCGTCCGCATCTCGTCTTCGTGTTGTGGTCAAATACCCTAACGGTGTGCCCGCTTTCCACCTCGGCGTTTTTTGGTTTCTGGAGAAGGAGTTGTATGAAATTGTACTTGCTGTCCAAGAGTGGAGCCAAAAGTGTTCAGGAATACGGAAAGTGAGGATGGAAAGACGGCAAACAGGCTAGAAGAGGATAAAGAATTGTGCCGCACGTCTTAGATAAGCGGTCTTGTTGTAACTTCAACTGCTAGGGGCGATCTTGATGATAATTCGGCCCCCGTCCTCCATTTTCTTCCGTGGTACGATCAACATGATAGTTCTACATCAAATTCGTTAAAAATGTATGAACATATTATTGAGAGTTAGTTAAACTTCCGAGAGCGCCTAATAACGAAGAGAAAGCTTCCAATGTAACCCACTGGCCATTCCGACTTACAGACTTAGGAGGAATCCATGGTAATCACCTAATTCCTCTTTCTTCAGTGTGATTTGCACAACAGTATAGCGAAACTCACCTCGTATCCACTCTCAAGGTCCCGTTGTAATTGGAAGCCTGTGTATCGAGACTTTTCCAACGCGTGAATGATACGTGGGTCGTAGTGTGCGCCATTGTAAGGCGATATGGGGAGTACAAGTGCCATAGCAATTCCGTTACTATCAACGTGAGAAACGTGGCTGAGACCTCAGCCGCATTTCGGTCATGGCGACCACGGCTCTCAAGCCAAAATGAAAACCGCCAAAAAGGGGTTACCATCAGCTGGCCAATGTTGTGCTGTTCTTTGAACCGCAAAGTGGTATGGCATTTCGTCTAGGTTCTCGCAGGAATGGTAAGGGACTTTCCCATTCCAATTCTGCAAATCCAGCTAAGATTTAAGCTTGTTTTAGTGTAACGAAGAATGCGGTTGTTTGAACCGACGTGCCCTGCTTCCGCTGAGGTGAGTCGTGCTGAAGTCAAGGGGCTTTCTGTTCTGGCATTCTCAATTGGTGCTGTCACATTTGGTCAAGTGCATGTACATGTTTGGAACCGGATATCGTCCTTGAAGAGATTATCCGGCGTTGATGTCGCGAGGTCGATCACTTTGCTAGGGAGAGGCTTTCAGAATGTATTCTGAGAGGTGAGAATATTCTTCGCGCGTGCATTGACGAGTCACTTAGCGATCTTCAAAGTATCTTTGCGCTGAGATCTATGAAAGGTATCCGGATGTCATCACATTCATCAGCTAGACAGAAGGCATCATTAGCAGCCCATTTAAATACTGACTGTGTATGTGTGGCTGGCTTGGCGCAAGGGATAAATGTGACAAGTCTGATCAGCCGTGGGATATCATTCGAACGGCAAATTTCGTGCGAAATGGGAAAGCCATTTTCAGTTGAGCACCTCTGGGATTGCCTTGTGTCTCTTTTGCCTGGTGATCCGTCTTGGGACATTCATGTTGTCGAAGCCGTGAGTCTCGCAATGTGAAGACCACTGGCTCTTATGATAGTTGCAGCTGAAAAGTGCTCCACGGCATTCTGACCCTATACGCCGTCGGAATTGTCAACGGCTGATTTTGATGAGAGAGGAATCTCTTGTCTTGGCTCCAAGAAACAACTTTTGAATTACGAAATTCTCCCTGACATCCAGCCTCTGGTGACATCTCACACTACGTCTTTGTTGAGATCACATTGAAGAGAAGCATTACACTACTATCGATGGTTATAACATTTTAAGGAAGACCCAGCCCATGTAGCAAATACTCCGTATGTCTTTCTGCCAAGCTGACCACCACACTCATTTACGTCTCACAGGGTCTCATTGCTTATCGTTCATCATTTATGCTAATTCAGTCACTCACTTAGTCTTTGGATGCTCGACAGGGCGCCATGATGTTACTCAAGATGCGAGCCGCACTGCTAGTAGCTATAGCTGGCGCCGCAAGCGCATATCCGGCTTCATCTGCACCCGGTAGCAACGGCACCTTTACCAAGACTGCTGTCCCTACGCCTTGCCCATCTCCCGTGGAAAAGGCCAATAGGTTTGGCTTTATGGGAGAACAAACCGCAACGTTTGCTCACGATGGGCCTCACGTCACCCTGTCGCCAAACATCCATTGGTCATGCGATACAAAGCCGGCGGCCAACGTCATCCCCATTCCTCCCAGCAAGGGCTCCAAGATGTACTACGGGGTTGGAGGTAAGTCGAAGATGCCAACCTATCCTCATCAACCCGATGAGCTCACGCAATAGAGTAGATCCGGCCAAGGCAGGAGATTATGCCTTTGTCACCTACCACTTCACTGCCCCGTCAGTAAACCTGGACCATTGCGATCATGTAGCAGTCGTCATATACGACTCTTCAGATCTGGTCATCTCGTTTGGCAGCCAAGATGGATATCAGAATGCCGTGGATACCTGGAATACTGATGACGGCCTGATCTTGGTCGCCTTCGCCAAAGGTTGCGGTGATTACAAGAAAGGCGACCGCTGTTTCTTCCGCGTATCTTCACTCAAGTTTCACGAAGGAGATTTCGTTGTAACAGCCTCCGGAACTCCTAGTCACCCTGACGATATTATCACTGTCGGTGAAACCGAATGGGGCCGTTGGACACCTCGAGGGCACCACCCGCAACCTTCCTCAGCCTCTGAACCAACATTCACATGGGGATCCGCACCGGCCGCCACATCTGGCAGTAGTCCATTCGATCCTATTTCCGCTTCTTCTGTAGAATATGTTGCCCCTGGCACGACCGGATCAACTTCACCTGTGCCTATTTCAACTGCTTTGCCCGGAACTCCTGGCAGTCCACTCTCAAACAGCTCCTCTACGGGGAACTCCACCAGTTTGCAGGCATCACGCAACTGCGACGCTCCGGTAGACACCAAGTACGGACTTCCAACGGCCTGTCTTGGTGATTACTTCGACGAGGATCTCGATGATGACCTAGGGTACACCCATTTGAGCGCCGAGAGTATCAGATTCGTTCAGGAAATCGCCCCTCAGTTCATCCAGGAGTCTATTCCAGAGGATTTCAAGTACGACATTGATCCAGAGGACACCTTCTGGAAACAACGCCGGCATCTCCGTGGGCGCTCATTCTGGTCTTTCCTAGACGTCATAGTGAAGCCCCTTGAGGCAATTTACCACGCCACGCAACAAATTCTCTCAATCGGAGGTTCCATCAACAAAGATATCTCCTGGCAGCTACCCGACTCCAAGTCTTCGAACCCCGATGGAAAAACGCTCACCGATCCCAAGACCAAGCAGGTCAAATCCCCATGGGGTGATTCGATCCTTCTGAAAGCGCTAGGTTCTCAGGAGGAGGACCCTGAGAAGACGGTTAACGGATACATGAACATTTTCTGCGTCGGATGCGGTGCGTCTGGCAACGCCAAAATCGCTGGCCGAGCCCGCTGGACTCCTCTTGGCGGGTTTCTCGAGGGCGAAGTCGACATCAGGACGGATATCAAGTTTGTTCTAAAGATAGGGATCGATGCCCAGATCACATACAAGGAGGAGTTCTACAATGACTTGATCAACGTGGGTTTACCTGGGTTGTCCTACGGTGTTGTTACCATCGGGCCACGCATCAACGTCGGATCACGCGTTGAGGTCGAAGCAGCGGCCAAGGGAAAACTGCTGGCGGGCGCTGAGATGGGTCTGCAAGACGCCCATGTGCTCATAGACTTTGTTCACTCGGCTAACAGCAAGAAGAGTGGCTGGGAGCCCTACTTCAAGCCGGTCTTTGAAGCGGAAGGTGAGTTGATGCTCTCCACGACACTTGGTCTGCCTATAGGTATCAAGTGTGGTCTCCAGATCGCGTCCTGGGATAAGTCCGTAGGCATCATTGATGAGCCGTCCATCAAGGGTGTTGCTCAAGTTGCAGCTTCGATCGGGCTCTCTGAGACGGGCAGCTTCCAGGGCGGATTCACCGAGACGGATGGCTGTACAGGCATCAGCACGCAAATCAGCTGGCGTAACAGACTGTACATCGATATCTTGGGTTTGAAGGAGATAAATTTGTTGGATACCGACGATCGTCCACTGACTCGTGAATGCATCCCGTGAGTTGCCTCCTCTACTATCCCTACCGCTTCACAAGATACTCGGGGCTGACAAGATTAGACTACCCTCCAACTTCACAAAGCGGCATATTGGGCATCGACAAACTTTCGAGCCCACGAACCCGATTGTTGATATCACACACAAATATAAGGGAGGCTCCTCTACCCTTTCTTATGAGCTTGAGTCCCTTCCGAATTCGGGCTACAATGATACCGACGGATACGAGTATTCTCTTCTTGTAAACCCTAGCGGCTCTACCATGATCATTTCTTGCAGCAACGGCAACTTGTACGCAGTCCTCACCGGCGGACCAGACAATGAACTCTGCTCGGAGCTGTGGGCTCATCAGAATGACGCCCTCATCTACGACGGAGCTCAGCGATTGATGCACTACTATGGCACCACCATGGCAAAGCTCGGCGTTTCTAGGCTGCGCGTCGAACCTGAACTGCATGGCCCTACCGATAGTGTTGTCGTCGCGTGGGCTCCTTACTACGGCGGACCTGGCCCTGAAGAGTACTACTTCGTTGCTGTTGACCCTCTTGGCGAAGTTTTCTATCCTGCGGTCTGTGACTATGTTGACGGGCAATCGTCAAAGCTTTTCCTGGTTCGTGACCCAGTTGAAGGGATCGAAACTCTCAAGAGCCCTGACCTCATGTATACTGTCACCGGTGGCCGGGTTGGTGACTGCTTTGCCTTAGTGTTGATGCAGGGTGCCCATGAGGCCAAGAGCTACCTCAACTTGAGTAATGCTCCCAATGGCCGGGGCTGATTTGATATGTTCCTTAATCCAATGTTCAGAGCTCTCCTACATTGATGCGCTTATCGAGGGCTGCGCCGCAAGTTTGGAATCATACAACAATTCATGGGAAGAACCTTTGGCGAAGCAATTATTAATAGAATTTGACACTTTTTTACGTACTGGTCCTGTCAAGCCGATTCTCAGACGGATAAGCTCACTCATACACTTGCTAGCAGTTATTGACTTGCCAGTATTTGCAGTCAGGTTTATGCTGTGTTGTAGGACTGTGGGGTCATCGATCTCCTGTCGTTGAACCCCCGTCCGCGGCCAGATTTCCCAAACCAGGCAATGCGTAATGCATGTGTAACGATGTAGAGCAAATGACGGGGAAGAAAAGGAGCGCGGCTTAGCTCCCCGGGCGCGCTAGGACCTGGTTACCAGACCGTCGGAAGAACCATCCCTTAAACGGAGCAAACAGGTGGTATGGATATGGCCAACGTCTAGGAAGTGCGATAGATGTACCGGGATGAGGAAAGAAGAGGATATACGTCAATTGTTTCGAACCCTGGACCTTTATCACATGCCGGATTGCTCAAACCTCGATACTCGGGACCCCGGTCTCACAGATCAATGGAGAAGCTATACTGATTTCCAGCCTTGTCATAAAGAGGAATTGAGAAGTCATTGGTTCATTGCTAAAGAATACATTAGATGTGGGTTTACGATTCATGACACAAAGTCGATTCAGTGTAATTGCTGAAATTTGAATACAGCGAGCTGACCACGATCGAGCTTTCGACCTCATCTAGATCGATCTAGACGGCTCCCTCTAATCCCACCCATTCCTCGGCACTATTATTTTCCTCAATCCCAGTGGTACATAGGTTGTGCGAGATCCTCATAGCTTTGCACCGCCGTTACACCAACAGCGACACATAGTGACACTGACAGACGAGCACCACTAAGGTCCCCCTGAAGATCAACGGGCTCAGCTTGACATGCCTCTGCGTTCCCTTCATCCTACCAATGCCACTAAGGCTGAACCGCCGAATTCAAAGAAGCATTGCTCGAGAAGAACCCAGACACAGACGGACTTAGACTCACTCCTCACTCCGAGCGCGCTTGTATACTGGGTGCTCTGGTGCATCTAGCTCTGAGGCCGGCCTCCTCCGATTTGGCGATGAAGGAGACGCCGTGGAATCGGTAGACTGTCTCCGGGGTTGTCGGTTGGTTGGGTTCTTCTGTGTGTACGTTCCACGACGAAGGAACTCTGCGATGACTGCTTCCGTGCCGATGACATTTGACGATCCCCTCACAGTGATACCTGCATCAACTTCCAGCTTCAATGGTCTTGACCGCCCATTTTCATCTATCAAGGGGCACCCCGCTGTCCAATCTCTCTCATAAATGGCATCGACTACCGCTTTTGCGATGGAATTTGCCTGTGCCGCAGGCGAATAGGGCAGGGCGATGAGGTTGCTATCGCTGGCCACGTCGATTCTTGTTGAGATACGCAGAGAAATGGGTGATGGTTCTTCCTCTTCCCCTTCCTCGTCGGCATCTAAGATCGAGTCTTGGGGAAGATGACAGATCCGTTGACTGTATTGGCTCTCGTGAGTGGTATCTCGTCTGACAAAGTGGGATGCGATGCTGCCAAAGACCGTCGGTTGTGCCTGCGGAGAGTATGCTGGAGGCTGAGGTTGTCTCCAGGGATCATTATCCTTGGGTATCGTCAGAGCATGGAGGCCTGACAGTAGAGCAAGGTGTTGGGTCTGGGCGCTTTCGGTGGATGAAGCCATCTTCGGTTATGGCGATGCGTAGAGAATAAGTGGTGATGAGGTAAGGCACGCAGCTGTGTCTTCAACGTCCAAGTTTTTTGCAAGCTGATAGAGATGCCTGAAGTCGTTTTATCTTTCGACTTTTTCTCAAAATGAAGACGTGGAGTGGAACAAGATGCAAAGCGTATGTGAGATGAGAAGGAGAAGCAGTAGTAGTCGATATATAACCACTTCCCTAGGCATATGACAACACATTCAAGGTAAGACCAGGTTTCTTTAGCGGAGATGTGACAGAAAGACGCCAGACGTGAGAAGTAACATTGAAACTCAGCTTTCCCTGTTCAGTTGGTAGAACGGAACGTTCGAATGGGCAGTGTCTCCCCATTTCAGTGGGTAGGCCGAAGAAAACACCAGGTAAGCACAATGGGCTCCGTTCCATCACTCATCAACAATCCATCATCTCTCACTTTTCGCTGTCCAGCTCCACCTGGGACATTCTTTCACAGACACACGGTGTAAGCGCAGAAGCTAGATTCCAACCACTACTGGCCACGGTGAGCTTGTTTGAGCTCCCAGAGTAGGATGAGTTGGGCCGGCTTCCCGCAAATCTCCGTTTAAATCAGGCCTCCTCTCTGCTTCTCTTGCTCGGACCACACCTTTGTGGTAACCGACAGCGAAACGAGACCCAAGCATTCGGAGCCAGAACAAGGGTGTGGCGGATCCCGACGATGCTTGTTGCGCCAAAAACACGCCGATCGAAGGAACAAATTAACCCAGATAACATCCTCAAAAGAGCAAGTGCCCACATGGCGAGGGACATGCCCCCATGCCTGAACAGGGCAAGGCGGAAGATGTCCGGTCCTCTCTACGACATTTGCCAATGGGAGCAACGCGCCCCTGTCTCCTGCGTACCTAAAAGCCGGCCAACACTAAAGGAAAGTTTGACACTTCACACGGCTGAATGGCATTACCAGTTTATTGTTCTCCCCGGAAAGCTGCATTGCTGGATGGGCGTAGAGTAGGGGGGTGCGGAAGCCGGAGGGGGAGGACCACGAGCATCGACCCACTTTGCCGAACGCCTCTTTCCATTGTGGTGGCACGGTGGAGCCCCCCGATTGACATTGTTCTCGGATGTGTGTGGGGCAACGTTGCTATTGTCCAACGCCTTCGGCCCCTTTGCTTCTCAACCACACCCGCCGGCCGAGGGATCGCACCGCCCGTCGTACCCCAGCGGCAACCCGTACCGAATGAGTTGGATCGAGTCTCGGATATCCCAGCCACGAACCACTCCTTCGGTCCTTCCCACCCCTCTTCCTGATGCATTTTACCCTTCCCGAATTTTCTTAAGCAAGATGAAGAGATCCCCTTTCACTCACCCCGGTAAATCACACAGCCCCTGCCAGGCCACTAACTCCGGCGCCGGCCATTGTTGGCGTCATTGGAACTGGTATGGTTCTGAGCTGTTGGAACGCCTTGTGACTTATTCCGGCGTACATCGATATTTCCACAAGGCAAAGTTGGTCGGCTGCGGCTGATACCGGACAAGAGCTTCAGAGGCTTGCAACAATCCTCTCGGCATGCTGTCTTTCATGGTGCCGGGATCTTTCAAGGATAAAATTCCTCTGGGTGAATCTTGGCTGACGAGGATACTTACATTGCCAATCACCTGCTACCTCGACGGGTAGGCAGGCCACTCGGCACAATATCCCCCCATCTTCCGGGAGGCTGGCAGCAAGCCGCAAAGCAATGCCATGGCAGAAATAGTGAGCTTTGGCGAGTCTTGATGCTCTTTCAAGGGTAGCGCGGAATTAGACCGGCCTCACAGGTCCCTGTTGTCTTTCGTTCGCTCGCTTCAATAAGCAGGGTTGGGTGTGGCATAGCATATCGTACCCTGGGGCCTAGGCTGCCATCCATTCCAACATCCAACGCTTCTACACCCGGCCGTAAGGAAGATCAAATCCCTCAACGGTGTTTGAAAAATGTTTGCCATATCGCCAGAGAATGATCTTCGTCATTCCATCATGAACACGTTGGCTTGTGATGACACAACGTAGCATGCCGACTGCATCTGCATGTCAACGGGAAGGGTTATGTGTTCGTTGGGCTTCTCACAAATTAAGATGCTGTGGAATGCTCTGGCTTCAAGTTCATTAGTGATATTGAATGCATATTCTAGAATGATTTCAAAGGACTGACGGATCAATCATGAACCCACTGATACCGGGTCATCAACTTTCCACCAGCCACCGGGCTCTTCAGGTAACGTACCACGTTTGATGTTCCCAAATCCGATCGCCGATTCTAACCCCATTATCCCATCTTGGCCGGCTTCCCGTAGACCGGTGTACGCCTCGTCACTTGGCTCGGTGTGATTAAGTTACCACTCCACAGCCCTAGCCCCACGACGAGATGGCCATCAGATGCCGACCCATGAAACGCCAACATACCTGCACGTAACGTGGCGATCACGAAGTAGTTCCAACTGGACATTTCTGATGCCGCTCGACTTACTCGGCATAGTGCCGACCAACCCACCAAAAAGCCATGGCAAGTTGCCAAACATGATCCAGCTTGGTTTGCTTGGCGGAGCTAGCCTACTCCTGTAGTCGCGGACAAGCGCACATGTTCATGAGTAAAGTGCCGCTCCTATGCTGTTGCTTTTATTTCTCCCGCTGAACCGCCTGCCCACATATATTTCAGTTACTACTCCAGTGGATTGTCATCAATTAGCCCACGAAGAGACATGAACAACAACAGCAATCTCAAAATGCTGGCGCGGATCCGCTTGCGGCATTCAGCATACCCACTATAAAAGCCGAAAGTGTTTCGAGGTTGCCTGCTACAAACAGGCCATCTGTCCAATGCGATTCGGCCGTAGACACCCGTCTGGCTCAAAGCGTACAACGCATACACAAATCATCGTTGAGACGGAGCTGGTTCCCCTCATCTCTGGTTGGGTACCGCTGGGATGGTTGACCTAATCTTGCCAGGTCAAGCCCAAAACCTACGTTCCCCCTATCCCACCACCAGCTCTTTCTCTTCTCCTTCTCTCCCTCTCTCACCCTCGTTTCCCCATTTGCTCGAACCACTCCCTACGCTTCCCTCTAGATGGAGATCTCATCGCAATGCACGCTACTACGTGTCTGTGTCACGAACCTCACAGGAGCAAGCTCACCTGCTCAATTGTAGGAGGAAACGACAAGGAGACAAGATCGAGTGCTTTGGGTTTTGGGGTTACACACGGAGTACCAT